ACCTTCTATAAGCTAGCTTGACTTGGCTCTCCTGCCTCGATAATTCAACAGACAAACAATAGAATTTTTCCAAAACGGGGACAGAAATGAAGTTCAGTTTTGTAACTTCCACCGAGGCAAGAAATTCAGTCAAGTACATGCCCTAGTTTTCCTTCCAAAGGCAGCCTTCCACTACATTTGGAGAAGCTGGTATCTTTTTATTTATTTATTAAAATACAGCATTAACAAGCCAATGTCCTGGTTCCAGCCAGGAGGGAGCATGGCTAGGACCCCGATGTTGTTCTATACCACCTCACATTATTTTCCAGGAACAGGTGGAAAGGCTCACTGCCAGGTCGTGGTGCTGGAGGGAACAGTCAGGGAGTGTCGGGGATTTCCACAGGGGGTGAGGAATAACATTCTTCCACTGTCCGTTTTCTTATCTCGTTGTTTCCAGTACATTGTTCTTATCTCAACCTGTGACTTTTACCTTTTGTGCCTCCAATTCTCTCCAGCTCGACACAGGGGAGAGGTAGGGGGAAAGGGGAGTGAGCAAGTGGCAAGTGATTTGGAGTGGTTTTGGCAGGAACACTAAATTGGAGAATGCCATTCCTAAACCACAACAGTCAACCAACAAGTTACTACATAAGCCATTATGGCTGACCTCATCTTTCTATGTGAAAAAGTGCCATTGTCCTAATAAAATTTAGTTTGGCTTGCCTTTGCTGTCCTTACAGGAGTCTGGCTCACATTATACCCTGTCAACTAAGCAACGCACAGCACTGATTTCTTCTTTGAACTTTGCAAGCTACGGCAAGTTCAAGTCTAACAACTATCCTTAACTGCAGAAAACAAGCACTTGGGGTACACACAAAGTGTGACTTTCAGGGTGTAAAGTAAGACCATAAGATACTGCCGTAACTATCCCAATTCCATTCTTTTTAGGGCCAATCTGATGTGCAATATGCAACCAAAATGAACTTGCTAACTAACATCAATAAAGCAAATAAATAAAGACAGGGATAAAAGCTTCAAGAGTAAATCTTTATTACAAAAAAACCCAAACAGTAATGGCTGTTGAGTTTCTTTAGAAAAGAAATCATATCCTATTTTATTACTCTATAGTAACAGACAGAAGGAAGCCTCTAAAGATGGGGTTTGACATCTTCTTAAGTGTGATGTTCACCGCACTATGTGCTATCAGCTTTTGCGCAGAACAATTCAGTCAATTTATATTTCAATTCACCTTGATTTGCTGATGGTTTTCTATTTTTTTTTTCTGTGCTTTGAGCTGCAGATATCTGGAATTCAATAGAAGAATTACAAAAGGCCAAGACATTTCAACCTTAGCCTAAAGTTTTTAGAAGAGGGTGGAGCATTTTTATGATCGCAGAAAATGGTACCATCTTTGCACTCAACATGTCCAAAAATTAATGGCATGACAAACACTTGAAATTTGGAAGAACTTGCTACCTTAATGCTGGTAGAAAATTATATTCAACAGCCAAGACCACACAATGTGTATAGCAAAGTCCACTGTGTAGCACAGGAGGTCAGCCAAGTAATATTTAGTATTTAAATACTCCATTTATTCTAACTCTTAATGTATCCTCCCTTTATTATCTAGGCCAAGTTTTAAGAAATGTCACTTAATTTCTTCCCAACATTTAACAGCTACTTGGGCTCTGAAAACAAGCAATCCCCAAGACTTCAAACACTTCTGTTTTCACTAAATTTCAGCAACAACATTTTTCGTTGTTCGATACCTCAAAGTTATTAACCAGCTATGTGACCATCACAAAGCTAGTGAAAAGCCTTTGACCAAATGCTTTGATAAAGTATCTCATAAGGCTGCAGGTTTCCATAAAATTATCCACAAAAATGCAGGAGTTCAGTATAAGCCCTGAAAGTTTTGGATTTTGATTCACTCTTTCATGCAATAAGCGAGGTATAGCCTAGACAAAAACAAGTAGGTATTTACCATGTCCTTGTGAGCCCTATCTGTCAGCAGTATATTTCCCCGTTCATTTTTAGTACTTAGGAAATCTTACTTCACTATAACCCCAGATCCTCAGACTCTAATTGCTAAGCAGTCATGCACAAATCTAACCGCAAAAATCACTACCGGTTGTTTACACAGTCAGCAGACACCTCACAAATGTCTATTACTGCTCATACATGCACTAAGACTACAAGAAAACATGAGTAATTAAGCTCCGTGTAGTTTCACAGGTGACTAGAATGCATTGGGATTGCTCACAATAGCCCTGTTCAGTGCCTGCTGCCCAGAATACTTTCTCCAACTTTTTAACTAAGAGATTTGCCATGTATTTGCTCAGTATTTGAAGCTACATGGAATATTTAGTTTGACAGTGTATACATGGACACATATATCTCCATGCACACTGGTAAAACCAACCTTCCTGATCTCAGACTCGTGTTCTCACTCTTACACATGCCAATAACATTTTCC